GCAACAATTTGTCTGCTAAGTAAGCTTGCTTAAATGCTAAGTTGACTATTGCGAAGTAAATTTTGTATCTGCTCTGTAAATAATTTGAATGCTAAGTAAAATTATTGGACGCTAAGTTAATTTAAATTTGCTCAGTAATAAAAATATTTGTTAAGTTCGATAAGTAATATAGGAGTAAAATATTTTTCAACTAAGTTAATAAATTAAAATTTTAATTATAAAATAGTTCATTTTCTACAACTGTCTAAAAAGACACACAAAATGGTCATGTAATTTGGGAGCGACCACTATATTCATGCATATGATAGACTGATTGTGAACACCAATCAAATATTTTCTTCTTTTGTGTCTTTGCCAATTGGTACTATATATGTGTTGTGAACAAATATGAAACATTAAGTAGAGCAACAAAAAAAAAGACGGTCTTATGGAAATGTATCAAACTGATGACAAATATAAAGATGATCATGATGATGATATGAAATTCATTGAAAAAAAAAAGAAAACGATTGAGTGATGATGATTTCGGTGCATTTGAAAAATACACAAAAGGTATTGGTATGAAATTATTAATGAAAGTATGTCTTATTTACGATTATTTTACTCAAAAATTCTGTCAAGAGAAGCGATTTTTATTTTTCAAGATTATAATTTATGTTCCAAAGTATATCCGTTGTAATTAGAATAATTAAACTTTTGAAATTAAAATTTCATACATATTGACTGTATCTCATAGAAATAACAAAACATTTTCTTTTTAATTCAAAACTAAACTCATAATGAAATATTTAGATGGGCTACGAAAAGGGTCGTGATTTGGGAAAAAATCTTCAAGGTCGAGCTGTACCTATTCAAGTTGTTAAACGTCAAGGTAAAGGTGCAGTTGGTCGATATGGAAATGAAGATCCAAATCGTGTTATGCATACTCAACGTAATTAATATGATATTTTTTTTCCTTTAATTTCAAATTATTTTTTGTCATAGAATGTGAAATTGATGAATCAACACGAACATCGAAAAAAAATGACGGTTCCAGTGTACCACAATGGAGAAAACAACAACAAGAAGTAATATAACTTGTTATTCTATTAAATGAAAAGACATTTTTTTTTAATTTTTTATTTAGAAAGCACCGAAACAACAATATGTTTATAAAACTTTAAATGATGTATTAAAAGAACACACAACGAAATTTCATAATAAAAAATCTAGCGGACCAAAAGGAGAAAAAATTATTGATATGACTGAACGTGAACCACGTATTCTTCAAAATTATAACTCAATAAGAACAAAACAATATGATAATGAACAAGTACTTGCATTAAATGAATTAACACATAATCTTGATTTAATTATTGAATCATGTGAAAAATCGATGATTCATTCACATTGAAGGTAAGAAAATATTGTTGGCGAAAGATTTGGTTCTCTGAACTTTTAATAGTTGTTGAAATTCATTGAGACACTTTACTCAATGATGATGTGATTTCTTCTTTATAGTTTGTTTCGTCAAGAATTGAGCGGTTAAAAAAGAAATGAAAGAGAGAACGGAAGTGAACATTTTTTTCAAAATAACTACTTTAGTGAATACAATCCATTCAGTATATGAGTTATATTTTCAGATAGTCTATTACTATGAACTATGTCATAGAAAATTTAAAAATACTTGTTTGAACAGCTAGTTGGTTGACTATAAAATACTTCTATATGCTCAACTAAATTATCTATGAAGACACTACCTGTAGATTTTTTTTAGCTGAATATTTTCGTGGATATCCTACTGAAAATCATCAAAGTACAGAAATACTCTGATCTTAAGCATTTTTATAAGGATAAAAGTCATCTATATTTTTCTATCCTTGTTTTATTTCAGCAAGAGAAATTTTTCTAGTGTGTAACATTCTTCTCTACACCTACACTCAGAGATCTGAAAATTAGCATGTCCATTTGTTTTTTCCTTTTCATCATAGTTTATCTATGAAATCTTAATATTTAATATATTAGATAGAAAATCTTATTGACTATGAATATCTGTATCTGGATTTGAGTTAGTTTCTTAATATTATAGAAAAAAAAACAATCTGAAATATGTCGTTGTTAAACTTTTCACCATCACCTTATAAATATACAGATAAACTGTGATATGAGGAAAAAAAATGAAATACTATCTGTCAATTATTTTCTTAGACCTTTGTAGTTAGTCGTCTGAAAAATTCTCATTTGTTTATCTTCCCGATTCTAATTTAACATTTATTTTAGACGAAAATTTGATGAAGATACAACAATTGCATTAAAATATGATTTAAATTATACACAACAAATAATATCAGATGAAAAAACATGTATGAATAGATTAAATATTCTTTTAAATATGATTAATCAGTAAGTGAAATAAAGAAAAATAAATAAATTATTATTTAAAGAATTTTGTTTTATTTTAGATGTGAACAATGTGTTAATGAAGTTCGCAATGTTTTTGATTTATTTTTTCTACATAGAATATTTGATGAACTTAAACAAAATTATGAAAACGAATATAAAAAATATCGTTTAGGAGATTTAGCAATTCCGATTTTACATCCTCAATTAAAACAATATCTTTCTTCAAATTGGAATATTTACAATGATAATCATAAATTAATCGAATTCTTTTCTAAATGGAAACAAATACTCGAAGATGATACAATTGATTTAATAATAGATAATTCAATTCAATCAAAAGAAAATATGGATTCATATCATCGACTTGTATGGGATGTTTACATGCCATTTTTACGAAAATCTATTCTGTAAGTAAATTTTTAATGAAAATACGAAAAAAAAAGATGATTTTTGTTTTTATTATTTACAGTGAATGGAATCCACGTCAACCTGATCATTTAATTGATTTTATCAAACAATGGATGCCATATTTACCACAATGGATAATTGATAAATACATTCATGGCTTCATCCATGGTTACCATTAATGAAAGATCGTCTTGAACCACTTTATCAACCAATACATACAAAATTAGCTCAAGCATTACATAATTGGCAACCATCAGATCTATCAGCTAAAGCTGTTCTTCTTCCATGGCAAAAAGTTTTTAAACAAGAAACATGGAATGCATTTATGAATAAATATATTGTATCAAAATTAATTTCAACAATGCAACAATTTATTATTGATCCTCGAGAACAAATTTTAGGTAAAGAATAAAGAAATTTTTCTTAAGAATTTTTCTTATTAAATAAATATTTCTTTAGATCCATGGCATTGGTTTATTGCTTGGTATGATATGGTACCATTATCAAGTATGATTACAATATTAGAAAAAATTTTTTTCCAAAATGGCTTCAAGTATGTTTATTTGATTGCTTTTTTCTTACTAAGAAACATTACCAAATGATCTGCTTCATTTACTTCAATGTTTTGCTAATATGTAGAAGATCATTAGAGTAGTGTAACCTCGAAAGGTTTCCTACTAATGTTTAGATTTGATCGATATAGCGACTTTTTAGTAGATTTCTTGTGCAGGAGTATAGTTCTTGAAAAAAAAATTACATTTTTGGAATTTCGACTTACAACAGGGAAATATACTCAAATGTCATTCAACTTCATATTGCGGCTACGAGTATGTCTTAGTAAGAGTAAGACAAGCTTAAGAGGATTCCTACCTATCGTCTACGGATAATGAGTTGTAACTGTTTAAATAAATATTCGACTGTATCGACATATTTGAAAGTTTCAAGGAAAACAAACATGTCTTT